GCTGTTTCCCTCTTCCGTCCTGGCTGAGGGCAGCAGTGAGGGTGGTCTCCAGCGCCTGGGGTGTGACCTCCTGGCCCTGGGGGAGTGGGGACGCCAGCAGGGCACAGGGAGTAGCTGGCTCGGGGCCCTCTGTGCCGGCCTCATCGGAAAAATACAAACTTTCCTCGGAGCTCGGGGTGGGGGGAGGCGCCGAGGCAGGAGGCAGGAAGGAGGGAGGGGGAGAGGGTCTGGTGTGTGGGGGCCCAGAACGAACAGGCTGCCTGTTCCAGGGACAGGACGCGGCACACACACCCTGCCAAGCCGGAGACAAGAGGAAGTTTGGCGGGGGGACTGGAAAGAAGATGTTTCCTCTGCTCTGGGCGCTCATTCGGAGCCCCCCCAGCCAGACACCTCTGCCTCCCCTGGGCCCCCCCGGCCCGTGCTCAGCCCCCATCTCAGGTCTCTCGGGCATGCGTGGCGCATGCGCCTGACGGGGCTCCTGCCGCCGCTGCCCACCCCCCACCACCCCGGCCTCAGCATCCCGGGCTCTCTCAGAGGCCACCTGGCTGCTGCAGGTGCTCGGGCAGGTGTGGCCGGGGGACCCCGCCTCTCACTTGCCAGCTGAACAGCCCGGGGCAGGGCCCCCCACCTCTTGGAACCTCTGTGAAAACAGGGTGAGAGTGTCTCCTTGAGAAGGAAACGATGCCCTTGTCGCTCCCGCTCTCCTGGCGTCCCCATTTCTCTGTCCCTCTGCCCACCTGTTCTACCTTCCTCTCTGCCTTGGGCCGGGTCTCACCTCTGCCACCCTGTGGCCCAGGCCCTGGCCCTGTCTCTGCCTCCCCAGGCCTCCTCTGTGGCCCGCCTCCTCAGGGCCCAGCTCCCCTAAGGGTAGCACCCAGAGGACAGAGAGGCAGGCCAGGCGGGCAGGGCAGGGTGCCCAGGTGTCCCCCCACCCTCCCCGCTCCCGGGCAGCCGTCCCCAGCCCTCAGCGCGGACACAGCAAGCAAGGAGCAAAGCAGACCCCTCCTGAGGAGAAGCAGGGGAGGGAGCTGGGCCTGCAGAGGGCCCCCGGGGAATCTGGGGCGGTCCTCATCCTTCCCTCCCACCTTACTGGAGTGAGGCCACAGGACCCAGGAGGGACCCACAGGTGGCAGGCCAGGACCACAGGTCGGGGCCAAGCTGGGCAGGCAGGGCCCCGGTGAGTAGCAGGCAGATCCCAGCGGTCCAGCTCCTACTGCACAAGGACAGGGTCCTGGAGCCAGTACAGCAGTGGCCCTGGTAGGGGAGGAGGCAGGGGACAGTGAGCTGGAGGGAGCTCTGACCGCCCCTGCCAACCCCCTTGCCCCCACGGAGCTGGGGCTCATACCCTGGGCTCTAAGGGCTGCTGACTGCGGACTGCCTGGAGAGTTCCTGGCAACTAGCTGGGGGGGAGGCCCCGGGTAGGTAGGGGGACCCAGAAAGTCCCAGGGCTATGAGTCCTCAGGCCTGGGTGAGCAGTACCCCCCAGCCCCCTCACCCAGGGAGCCAGGCAGTGGGACAGGGGGCCTGCCGTCAGGGGCCCCAGGGGCAGGTGGAAGCCAGGCAGGAAAGGACCAAAGGACCGGGCCACAGAGCCGCTAGTGCCAGCAGGAGGCTTGTCCTCGGAGGAGGGTGCAGTGGGGGCATGATTCCCTGAAGCTGTGCATCTGGGAGGGAGACTTCCTCTCCAAATAGGCCTCTTAGCCCCACAGACCAGCACCTGGGGTCTGGAAGCCCAGAACCCTCGAACCAGAAGATTGGAACCCCAAAGGGGCCTGAATGGGGGGGGGCGTTGCTGCCTGGAGCCTAGCATCGGGCAGACCTCCCCTGTGGTCGCTCTGGCCTGCCTTCCCTGCCAACAGCCCCCTCCTTCTAAGGCCATCCAAGGAGCACCTGACCAGCTCTGCTCCGAGGCTCCCCACCCCTGCACTGCTTCCCCTCCCTCTCCCTCTCCCCCACTGCAGCCCTGAACTGCCCTCCTCTGGGTGAGGCCGGGGGCTGGAGGCCCACGCTCTGCACCTTCACCCCTGCCTGCCAAGAAAAGGGGCGGTGGAGCAGGGCGGGATAGACGCCCCCCTTCCCCAGCGGTGGGGAGCCAGGCTGACCTCCTCTCCGAGGCAGCAGAACAGAGCCCGAGGCCCAGTGCGGGGGTTGCTGAGGGTTTCCGGGGTGATAATTGGGCAGCGATGAAGTGTTCTGAGCAGAGGCTGACTCCTGTCACCTGTGATGGCCAGCACCGCGAAGCCTCCCCCCAGGTCCTGCCGGCTCTCCGTGTGACCCACCAGCATCCCCCTTCCGCTGGACCCCACTTCCTCAGGTCTGCAGCGGGCTGCTCCAGCCCCCGGAGAGGGGGCACCGAGGGGTCAGAGTCTGAGGTCCTTTCCAAAACCCGGGTCCCCCCAAAAAGGGGAGTCTCGCCCACCCCCAGCATCTCTAGCGCTGAGCTGCTTTCCTGGGTCTGCTCAACCCCTCCGGCCCTCTAGGTCCCAGCCGGGCACCCCACTCCAGGAAGCCCTAGCCGTTGCCCGCATGGGTCTGGTGGAGCGGAGGCTGGAGGTCACCCCGGCCAGGGGCTGCCCAGCTGCTCAGGGGACTTGGGCCTGAGTGTCATCCTCAGGGGTCACGCGGTCTTTGTAAGCTGCTGGTCATTCGGGTGAAGGCTCTCTGGCATTCCCACCGCCTTCACATGCCTTTACACTCCCGCACACACCTGCACACACCTGCACATGCCTACCACACACGTGCACTTGAGGGCCATAACTGCCCAGCTGGCTTATACGGCGTCTTCCCCGACAATGGCCCTGAGACCCAAGCCTGAGCTCACCCCAGACGTGGACACACACTCAAGGCTCCCTGCAGGCCCTAAGGTGACCAGCCAGCCACACCGTGGGCCTGGCTACAGGCCACGCCCCACAGACACCGCACACAGGAATGCAGCCAGGGCTGGGCAGATCTGGGGTTCCTGTTCTCGCAGCTTCTCTGCCTGGCTCCCCCTCCCTCCTCCACGCTGCCCCTCCACCCTCCCTTTCAGCCCACCCACTTGCCTTTAATTAGAAATGCCAGGAGAGCGATTTTGGGCAAGTTTTTGCCAGAAAGACATTTCCCCCCAGCTAGGGGTGGAAGCTTGGAGGGGGAAAGAGACAGATTGGCTCTGGGGTAGGGAGGAGGGTTTCCAGGAGAGCAGGGAGAAGGGGCCTGGAGGAGGGGCAGCAAGTGGGGATCCCAGAGTGTGTGAGTCAGACAGAGGGGGGCTGGACATGGATCGGGGGACTGGTGAGGGGGTATGAGTGTGTCTGGAGGATGGCTGGGTGGGGGGGTATGAGTGTGTCTAGGGGATGGGTGGGGGGGGGGAGTGTGTCTAGGGCATGGGTGGGGGGTATGAGAGGAGTATGCAGTGTGTGTCTGAGAGGGAGAGTGGGAAAGCGGCAGCAGGGCTGGGGGATTTGACTCACTGGTGAGCCCCCGGCTCTGGGCAGTGTGTGTTACCCGTGCCCGCATAAAATCGGAGGACCTGGGACCCATAACCCTCCATCCTGGGGTAACCCAGAAAGGATGACCCTCCCCCACCACTGTTGCCAGGGAGGCAGAAGGGGCCTCCCTCCCGAGGGAATCTCGGCTTCCGGAGCCCCATTCCTTATATGGTGTTCTGCTTTTCTCTGCCTCTCCTGACTGCATAAGGCTGCCAGCACCCCTTCCGTCCGCCACCGCCTCCTCCTTCTCCTCCTTCCTTCCCCCTCCACCCTCCCCCTCCCCCGCTTCACCTTCCTTCCCCTCCTTCCCCTTCTCCTTTCTTCCCCTCCTCCTCCTTCTCCGTCTTTCCTCCTCCTCCCTTCCTTCTCCTCCTTCCCCTCCTCCCCCCAGCCCTCTTCCATCCTCTCAGAAGTCAGAGCTTCTGACCAGGATCCCTCTGTGGCCTGGAAGGTTCAGGTACCAGGACCCCTTCATCCCCTCCACATCCCTTCCCCCACCCCGACACCCCAGCTGGCAGGGAGCAGGTTCCAGATTTCTCTGGAGGCACTACATGGAGAAGTCCTGGGCCTCACCAAAGCTGTGAGAGTGGGGGCCCCAGGCAGTCCTGTCCAGCGATTGCCACACTGGTGTCACATCCACACCACTGCCAGGGGCCCAGCGGGGCCGAGCCAAGGCCTGAGTGCTCGTGCCCCTCACACACAGGAGGGAGGACCAGCCCAGTGCCCAGACTTGAGAGACCCCAGGGCAGGGGTGGGCAGGAGCTAGAGGCCACACCTGGGAACCCACACCGGACTCTGGGGCGTGCTTGCCCTTGTCCACTACAGGAAAGCTCCTCGCAGCCTTCAGTTCCAGGGAAGGAGGGTCTGGATGGCTGTCCGGGGGGGTCGCCAGGGCTCATCCGTGGCGGGATTTCCGGCCACGCCGGACTGGGGGACGGGGCACGGGCACTGAGGCCCCGGGAGCGCGGAGTCGAGCACCACCCCGCCCCCTAGAAAGGACGGAGACTGGAGAGGAGGGGGCCCACCCCGAGACCCAGGGGGAGGGAGGGGCTTCCTCCTAACCTTTGGGTGGGTGGGGGCAGCTCAGTACCCGCTCCAGGCCCCCGCGGAATCACACCTGCGCCCCCCCCCACCTCCGCCGGTCGCGGGCAGGGGGTTGTCGCTGGGGCCCGGCACCGTCCCTCGCCCCGCAGGCTGAATGAGCCGGGGAGGGGGCGTCTGCAGCCCGCAGGCGGATTAGTCACCGGGCCGCTGGCGCGTGCGGGGGGGCGGGTCCTCCCGGGGCGCCGGGCGCGCGGGCGGGCGCGGGGGGCGGGGCGCGCGGGGCGGGGAGCCCGGCGGGGACCAATGGGAGCGGGGGCTCGGCGAGGGGCCGCCCACGGCCGTGCGGCCGCATAAAGGGCCGGCGGCGGCTGCAGGGCGCAGAGCTCGGCGCCGCGGCTCCCCGCTCCTCGCCGCCTCCCCGCGCTCTCCCGCGTTCCGACGCCGCCGCCGCAGCCGCCGCAGCGCCGGGACCGAAGGGACCCTCTCGGCTGCACCGCACCGCCGGCCCAGCAGGACACCGCAGTCCGCACCTCGCGCCAGTCCGACCGCCGCGGCCGCCTGCGCACCGATGGAGCTGGACCACAGGACGAGCGGCGGCCTCCACGCCTACCCGGGGCCGCGGGGCGGGCCGGCGGCCAAGCCCAACGTGATCCTGCAGATCGGTAAGTGCCGGGCCGAGATGCTGGAGCACGTGCGGAGGACCCACCGGCACCTGCTGACCGAGGTGTCCAAGCAGGTGGAGCGGGAGCTGAAGGGGCTGCACCGGTCGGTGGGGAAGCTGGAGAGCAACCTGGACGGCTACGTGCCCACCGGCGACTCGCAGCGCTGGAGGAAGTCCATCAAGGCCTGCCTGTGTCGCTGCCAGGAGACCATCGCCAACCTGGAGCGCTGGGTCAAGCGGGAGATGCACGTGTGGCGGGAGGTCTTCTACCGGCTGGAGAAGTGGGCCGACCGCCTGGAGTCCATGGGCGGCAAGTACCCGGTGGGGAATGAGCCGGGTCGCCACACAGTCTCGGTGGGCGTAGGGGGTCCAGAGGGCTACTGCCAGGAGGCGGACGGCTACGACTACCCGGTCAGCCCCTACGCCATCACCCCTCCGCCAGCTGCTGGGGAGCTGCCGGGACAGGACCCTGGGGAGGCCCAGCAGTACCCGCCCTGGGGGAGCAGTGAGGACGGGCAGCCGAGCCCCGGCGTGGACACGCAGATCTTCGAGGACCCGAGGGAGTTCCTCAGCCACCTGGAGGAGTACCTGCGCCAGGTGGGCGGCTCGGAGGAGTACTGGCTGTCGCAGATCCAGAACCACATGAACGGGCCGGCCAAGAAGTGGTGGGAGTTCAAGCAGGGCTCGGTGAAGAACTGGGTGGAGTTCAAGAAAGAGTTCCTGCAGTACAGCGAGGGCACGCTGTCCCGGGAGGCCATCCAGCGGGAGCTGGACCTGCCGCAGAAGCAGGGGGAGCCGCTGGACCAGTTCCTGTGGCGCAAGCGGGACCTGTACCAGACGCTGTACGTGGACGCAGAGGAGGAGGAGATCATCCAGTACGTGGTGGGCACCCTGCAGCCCAAGCTCAAACGCTTCCTGCGCCACCCGCTGCCCAAGACCCTGGAGCAGCTGATCCAGCGAGGCCGGGAAGTGCAGGACGACCTGGAGCAGGGGGCCGAGCCCGCCGGCACCCCTGTCCCCACCGAGGACGAGCCCGACGCCCTCACACCGGCCCTCACCAGCGAGTCCGTGGCCAGTGACCGGACCCAGCCCGAGTAGAGGCCAGCTCAGGCCCCAGCCTGCCCACCGCACCCCACCTGTGGCCTTCGCCAGCCAGGACTGTTGAGCTGGGCTGACCCCTGCACGGGGGAGCCCCTCTTCCTCACCCGGCTGGGCACCCGACATCAGCCTGCCAGCCTGACTCCCACAGACACATGTCGTCCAGCTGTGGGCAGCATCCCCCAAGCAGCAAAGGGCCCCCGCCCCGTCACCTGCCTTCTGTCTATCTTTCCTGGCCTCCGATGCCCCCACCCCACTCCCTGCACACTCTCTGGCCACCACAGGATCTCCCAGCCTCGTTCTTCTGCTCACCCCCACCGCCCGGACCCCCTGGGCACTCAGAAATCAAGTGTGCAGATGGCCTAGGCCAGTGAGCGCCAAGCCCAAGGGGCAGCCCCGAGCAGAAGCTGAAACAGCACCAGCGCCGCCTCCCCCCCGGGGCAGTTGCCGCGCTGCCGGCGGCTGGCACTCTTGCCGCCGCCCAGGGCAGCCGGCCAGCCTCCGGCAGTGTCGAGCCTCGCTCCTGCTGGCGGGAAGCCAGAGCCTCCGGAGCGTCCGGCGGCGGCAGCGGCAGTGGCAGCAGCAGCAGCAGCGGCCCCGCAGCTGCAGACCTGGCGTCCTGGTGCCTCCTGGCTCCTCAGGTGAGCCCCAGCCCCGAGGCACCCCCACGAGGAGGCACTGTAGGGTAGGGAAGGGCCTGGCCCCGGGGGATGGGGATCCCCAGCAGGTCAGCTGTGGGGATGGGGTGGGGGGCTGCAGCGTGGAGTGGTGGGAACAGAGCAGAGACCCCAGGGATCTGGGAGGAGGGCCGGGGTGGGCGGCGGCGAGGTGGAAAGGCGGAGCCTGTGCTCACAGGACCCTGTGCTTTCTCTCTCCTTGGCACCAGTGATCCAGCCCAGCCTGGAAAAGGATCGCCTGGGCTCCAGGACTCACTGCAGAGGGTCCCACAGGGCCTGAGTCCTCAAACTCCGCTGAGGAGCCAGGAGAGTGACGACAGGTACAGTGGGCCCCCTCTCTCCCACGGAGAGTCCCTGCCCCGCCACTCCCCTGCCCCAGGATCCCAGGCCCAGCGCCCCCCCAACCCAGTGCTCTGGGCACTGAGAGGCAGCCCACAGTGGGGGCTTGGCCCTGGGGGAGCAGCAGCCCCAAAACATCCACCCCCAGCCCTCCTGTGCAGCCCCTCCCAGCCTGCGGCCTGTGTCCCTGACAGCCTGTGTCTTTCTTCCAGGTCTTAAGGCTCCTACAGAGCCTTCGCTGCTGAGCCTGGTGCGGTCCCTCCTCCTCCCCCCCGCAAGCTGCCTGCACACAAGGAGGAGACCCTGAGGTCAGCAGAGGCGCCGCAGAGAGGGCGGGCCCGGCAGAGAGCTGGTGATGAAGACAGGCCAGCATGAGGGCCAGGGCCTGCCCTGCTGGCCACCAGCCTGCCCGCCCCCATGGCCGCTGTGGCTGGAGTTGGGATCTGCTACTGCAGGGCCTGTCTCACTCCAGCCCCGGAAGCCCTGCCCATGGCACGGCGGCCACCCTCTCCTGCCAGAGCTTTCCAGGAGCTCTGAGGCTGAGGCCACAGCCCCAGCCCCTGCCTGCAGCCCCGGGCCCCACCGCAGGAGATCTCAGAAGCCCTGCACCCGGGGTTTAAGCAGGCTCTCTGCCAGGCCCCACCACTGCCGGGGCCCAGACCCCCAGCTCTGCCGGCACCAACGTCCTGGTGCTGGGCGGCCACTCATGTCTGCAGGCCAAGCAGGCCCTGGCTGGGGGTTCTCCTTTCTGTCTAGCCGGTGGGGGTTTCCAGATTTAGGAGAATGATGGCTGCAGGTGACTGTCAGCCCCTCCATCCCGCACCTCTGCCAGCGCCCCCCCGCCCAGATTTTATTTTTGTGCATAAGCCATAACCCATTCTCACAGGCTGGCAGAGGCTGCAGGGAGGCCCTGGGGTCCTCAAGAGTGTGTGTGGCCAGTTCCCCCCCTCCCACACCCAGCGGGTCAGGCCTTGAATGTCGGGCCGGGCCACGTGTACCTCATCACCTTACCTGAAGACAGACTCTTTTGTAAGATTTTGTTAATAAAACAATGAAACTTCTCCGTGCATGCTGTTGTTTCTCTGCCAGGTTCGGTTGACTGGCATGGAGCTGCGGAGGGAGGCGGCTCGGGGAGGTGCGTTCCTGGAAGCCCCATGAGCGCAGACTGAAGGGTCTTTGGGGACGGAGGGAGCACAGCCCGCCACCCCGCAGGCCAGTTGGTCAGGGTTCTGGATCCCCAGGGTAGTAGGGCTGAGGGACTCCCCTTGTGGAAGCCAAAGACCTGTGGCCTCCAGGCCTGAGGCAGGCAGTGGTGGAGAGACCTGGAGACCTCCTCCTGGCTAAGCCGAGGACTGGGCCCCAACAACCTGTGCACCCTGCCTGCTGGGGCATGGGCTGTCCTGAGAGCTCTCCTGTCGCCAGGGCTCAGCCCCCACGGAGGCCCAGGGCTTCCGCCTAGTGGTCTTCTCCAGCACGGAGCAAGGCAAGATCCCCACTGGGAGGGGACCCTGACAAGTCCCGGGTCATAGCTGTGTTCTCCCCAAGTCTGTTTCCTCATCAGCAAAATGAGAAAACCGCCACTAATATAAATCCACTGGTGGGTTCAAGAACTGAGAGACGACGGCCACCTGTGTCCTGCGGGTGGCTGGCCTCACTGGCCTCTGTGGGCTTTCAAGGTCCCTGAGAGAGGGAGAGCGAGCGTGAGCGGGCTCAAACCCCTGAACCAGCTGGGGTTCAAGAAGAACCAGGCCCAGTGGGGGCGGACAACGAGCCATTGGTCACAGGGAGTTGGCTTGCTCAGATGTGGGCCAGACCGCTGCAGGATTTCATCTCCCTCCGCTGTGGCTCAGCTCCACAATTAGGGCCCGTCTACTGATGGAGCCAGGCCCACCCTGGTGACTTCGGTGATCATCCTGATGTCGAGTCAAGTGATGATGGGCTCTGGTCACACCTGCAAAAGGCCTTCTGAGCAATACCTACCTTCGGGTTTGATTGAATGCCGGGGGACAGGTCCCTAGCGAGGCTAATGTGTACAACTGACCGTCAGGAATGCCGCAGTTGTGGCCAGAGGCTAGTGACCTACCCAGCACAGGTCTGATGAGGGAACAGAAGGCCAGCTGAGGACAAAGCAGAAGCTGACACCTCCCTTCCCTCCACCCCGCCATGGGACATATGTGACATTCCTCAGGCACTCCCTGCTGCCCTAAAGGGAAAACAAATAGCTAACTTGTAGCGATCACAATCCTGCAAGACCCTCGCGATTTACAAGGAAGAAGCTTTCTTACCCATAGCCTAAGTCCAGGACCCATAGCTCAGTCCCTGGAGCCCTAACATCGCCCTCCCGCCCACAAAACCGAGGGAGGCTGAGGCGGAGGGACACGTGAATAAAGCTGAATTTCTTCTAACCCTGAGCGTCACTGTCAAGGACGTGTGAGAGCAGGCGTGTGACGTTTCTCCAGGAAGCTCCCAACAGTCTTCCCGTTAGTGCCTCATTAGAGGGAAAACCAGCGTGGCCGGACAAGAGCCAGGCCCCCAGTACCCCGAGAGTCTTCGTTAGCGTGTGACAGTCCTTCTGGGCACCCCTCTGTCCTCGCCTCCCCAGCTGCCGACTATAGAACCAGCCGCTCCATGGGTCGCGGAGCAGCAGCTCTTTCTGCCTCCCCGGGGCCTGGCCCTGCACGTACTCTTTTTCACCAAAGACGCCTCAGGGATTCTTTCTTGGCGGTCAGCTCCGCACTCCACCCCACTGAACCTCTCCTGTACCCCCAAACCACATCAGGTCCTCCCCCCCCCCCGCTCTGTGGGGTGCTGGGCCAGAGGGGGCGGGGAGGGCAGGTGCGGAAGCCGAGCACAGCCCAACCCGGTGCCCTCCCCGCTAGAGCCTCGCCAGAGCCTCGCTCTGCAGGGTCCGGGGGAGGACAGGTCCCTGCCCGGCTGAGGACACCCTGGGAGGCAGGAAGCAAGTGGGAGGCAGAAAGAGCCACCGGCCAAGAGGAAATATCACCTCCATGCAGAGAGGGCTGGTGGCCCTGAGCAAGGCGCTCCCTGGTGAAAAGGCGGCCTCCTCCCTATTCTTCCCTTTTATTTCTTTTAAATAATGGAAGCTCTGACAAGAATGGGGAAAGGAAACCGACAGGAACAGGAGGCTGGGGCCCCACGGTGACGCCTGAGAGCGGCAGTGATCTCTCCCGGAGAAGCACTACGGCTTACATCAAAAGCTGAAAGCTATAGGTGCCTTTTTCTTCTCCGTAATAACAAGTTGCTCCCTGCAACCGCACGACAGGCTATCAAGCACTTCGAGTGGCTGGGGACACAGCTCTGAGTCTTTGTGTCCTCAGAGAAAAGACGGAGGCCGAGGGCAGGGCAGGGGTTGGTGGGGGTGGGGGCGCCCAGACCCAGCCCCTGGCCGGGACAGGGTGTGCCCCGCACAGGCCTTGCTTGCCCCTCCCCATCCTGCCAACCCATTATCACAGATGACCCAGCCTCCTCTCTTGACTGGGGAAACTGAGGCACAGGGAGGGGCCGTGCTTGCCTCACCTCCGGGTTCAGAGCTGGGACTGGAGACGGGGTGTCCGGAAGCCCCGCGGGGGCCCACCCTGCAGATCCAGCTTGCTGCGGGGCTCTGAGCCGGGGGCAAGTGGGCTCAAGCCCCAGGGCTGCCTTTTCTCTAAAATCAAGTCCGCCCACGGAGGGGGCGTGAGGGTCAGAGGGCAGCGGGCCCAGGTTGGGGGAGAGGCTCGGAGCTGCTGAGACGTGGTCTCACGTGTCCCCTTAACGTGCTGTTGAGGGTGAGCCCTCAGCCTCGCAGGTTAAGCAAAGCTGTAAGTCCCCGCCCCAGGGACGGGCTTGGGAAGGCGGCTGAGCCCGCGCGAGGCGGCGGCCGTAACGAAGAGGACGGACTGAACGGCTGCTCTTCTGTCCCAGGAGCACGTGGCTGGGACCTGAGCTCCGCTGCCCATTCAGACCGTCCAAGCGCCCTGCCGCCTCCAGGCCGCTGTCCATGTCTGCTGGAGAAGCCAGAGGAATGGCAAGGAGATGGCCAGGCAGACCACAGCCTTTGGCCCAGAGAGGCCCCGGGAAGAGCCTCGTCCCTGCCGCCCCACCCGGGAGAACGCAGCCAGAGGCCCACGCCCAGCGGCGTGTGGGAAGGCAGGGGCGGGGTGGGGGGGGGTTCTGGGGACGGCCAGAGGGCAGAAGGCCGCACGGAAAATTGTTTGGGATGATGCGAACTTCACCTGGCCCCAGGGAGATCTGGTCTCTGTCCTCGGCTGTGTGTGTGGTGGGGGGTGGGTGTCATCGTGGAGCCCGGGGACATCCCGAGCCCAGCGTCCTGTTTCCCCGGGGCTCTGGGCCACACGGTGTCAGCTCGGGCTCCCCAGGGGCTGGAGACGGAGGTCGGCCACGCAGGAAGACGACCAGGTCAGCGTGACGGGAGCCGGACCAAGACCCTGGACGGCGAGGCGGGGGCTTCCCCGGCCGACAGCACTCGTGCGAGCTGGCACTTCGGGCCGGGAGAGCGCGCGCTGCTCGCGACTCCACGGGGAGAGGGCGGTGCGGACCCTGCTGGGCCCTGCCCGCGCCGCTGCCCCTGGCTGAGGGCGGTCTGCGTCCTTTCCTTGCGATGAGCCTAACCGGGAGCCTGACCGCTCTCGTGAGTTCTGGGAGCCCGTGGAGCGAATCGGCGGACCCCGCGGGGTCTCGGGGACCCCAGACTCTGCAGCTGGTCTCAGAGGTAAGGGTGGACTTGAGAACGTTCCCAGGTGATACAGCCTCACAGATGACGGGGACTCTTGCTAGTCCGTAAGCGACTTTTACCTCCAGGGGGTTTAGCGTTATCGTAGAAATTTAACAGACTCAAACCCAGAATGTGACCATGTTTGTCCAGAATTTGCATGTGCACCGCCGTATTTCAGGCCTTTTCCCAGTGCAGAGGATCGGGCCGATAGGAGTAAGGGACAAGCTCACGGCGCCGGCATGTGTCTACCGGGGCCGCCGGCGTGGACATGTGACGTTAGGTAGAAACCATATGAAATTTTGTGTATAGTAATGGAACATTGGAGAGAGCTTAAGAATCACCATATTCTTTAGCCTAATTTATTGAATTTATAATAATTTTTAAGTATTTGGAAATTACACAAAGTCTGGAAAAGTAGATTCCCTGTAGAATATATTGACTATGGATGTAGCATAAAGTTTCGGAGATGTCAGCCGGACCGGACTTACTTTCAAGTCCCCTTCAGGCGGCTGCACACGTGTGGCGCTGCTGAGTGTCCCTTAGACTCTGAAGGGAAAACTGGGTTGGGGGTTGGTAATTCGGAGCTCCGGCACTCAGGTAAAGACCGGAGTGGCTTCCGAGCCCTTGGTCCCGGCTGCAGCCCCCAGCACGGCGGAGCTCCCTCCAAGGGGGCTTCCATCTCTGTGCTCAGAGCTCCGGGTCCCTTGAGTGACTGGGGAACACCTCCAGCCGCCCTCTCCTGCCCCCCGATGCCTCCCACCGTCTGACCCCCGTTCTGCCCCCTTAGGATCCACCCTCCTCCTCCTCTTCCTTTCAGTGTGGCCTTTTTGGGGACGTCTCCAGGTCTCCGTTGTCTTGTCTCTATCACTCTCTGTCTCTGTCTGTCTCTTCCTTGTGACTTCCTTAAGCCTTCCTGGCAGGCTTGTCCATGACAAGCCCCAGGACAATCTCCATCAGGACCAGCTTCTCCATGAGAGACTCCCTGAGGGCAGGTTCCCCCAGGAAGGCTCCCCTAGGACCAGTTCCCCTAGAATGGGTTCCCTAGGAGGGCTC